TCCGTTAACTGCGCATGTGCCGTTCGATGTTAGGTCGCCTTTCGCAGGAGCGCAAGGCGACGCTTGCGCATGCGCGTTGGAGCGCTACTTCGAATACCTCCGTACGCGGCCACGGGCACAGGGGGTGGGCTGGACGGGTCGCTCAGCTCCCGTCGGAGTAGCTACGGGGACGGCGCGGGGACTGGCGCTCCAGGGCTTAGGGGACGAGTGGGTTAGGGGGCGGCAGGACTCGAGGGCCTGGACACTGGAAAGGGGAAGGTGGGAGCTGGCTGACACCGGTGTGTTGCGGGCCCTCCGTCGTGTTCCGTTGGCCGGCGCTCCTACTGTGCCACCGGCTGCAAAGTCTGGGCGCTGCAAGCCGGTGCCGGCGTGCATTGATTGGGGGGCCTTTGTCTCCCTAGGGTCTCCTGGCTCTCCTCCACAGCCATGTCTTCAGGGCCTCGCGCACCCGCTCGCCTGCGGCGTCTGCTGTCCGCGGGTCCGGTTCAAGGGGGGCCAACTCTGCTTCTGCAAGTGCCCGGAGTTCCTGTTCGGTACACACTTCTGGCACTGCATGGCCGCGGTCCTCACACAAATTGTGCAGGATGCAACAGGCTGCGACGACTGGACTGACATTCCTCAGCTCCACCGGCAACTCTAGTAGCAGGCACCGCCACCGTGCCTTCAGGCGGCCGAAGGCACGCTCAACCACATTCCTCACACGACCCTGCACCTTGTTGAAGTGTGCCTGCTGTGCATTGAGGTGGCCTTTGTAGGGAGGGATGAGCCAGCGTCGCAGGGGGTATGCTGCATCCGCCACTATGAGTGGTGGCACCGGGACCCCCTCGAATGTGCGGGTGGGGTTACCAGGCACATAGACTCCCGCTTCCATTCTGGCCATGATGTTTGACCGCATAAGGACGTGTGCATCATGACTTTGGCCGCTTTGGCCGACCACAATGTCCACGAACCGACCAACATTGTCCACGGTGCCCTGCAGGAGTACTGAGGTGTAGTTCTTGCGGTTCATGTAGAGGTGGGCCAGGGGGACAGGTACTCGCACACGGATGTGGCAACCGTCCATTGCGCCAACGCACTGTGGAAAGCCCTTGGCGGCGAAGGCCCTCATTACCTATGATGGACGGACAGAGGGTTACTGCTGCTGCACCCACTTTGGACCCGGGGGGGGCCCACTGCAAGGGATGCCGCCTCCCCTGGTGCTATACCTGTGTCTCCCTGCCCCCCACCCCTGCCCTCAGGGCTGCCCTCCCTCTCCCTGTCCCCCTCCCCATTCCCTCCTGTCCGTACCCTATCTGGGTTCCGAAGGGCCACCAGTCTGTGGTGGAGTTGCTCTGAGATTGCCCGTGTCACCTCCATCGCGATGCCAGCAACGGTGGACCGTGCGAGACCGAACAGCTGGCCAATGGTTCTGTAGGACATGATGTTGGCCATCCACCACACACCAACCGCGACACGTTCCTCCACTGACACGGGTTCACGCATCACCGTGCACTGTCGCTGCAGTGTGTCCCGGAGGACATCCACCAGCCACATGAATGTGGACCTGCAATTAGATGGTGACATGGTACTGGCTTTCTCCGGGTCCGGCTGTAAGGGGGCCCAATGCCATGGCCATGTCACAGCAACGCCCCTATCCCTCCCTGCTGCTGATGGTGGCCACGGTCTCGCTTGTGGCCCCCTTGCCATGGACGGCCGCCTGGCCCCGGCACATGCCCGCAACATGTTACCTGGACATCCTGAAGTTCTCCAGCCACTGCTCGTCTCCCCAGACGTGGGTGACGAAGGTTGCCCACCATTCCTTGGCTCGTGGGTACACCCACCAGCGGCGGCTGGGTTGCTCCGCGGAAAGACGAATGAGCTGGTGTGTATGTCTTCCTCTGCGTCTCTTCCGCCGCCTACTGCTCCGTTCTCCGCTACCTAGCTGTGTGGTGGCCATGGCCATCCTCTGTCTCCTGCCTGCGCCCATGTACCCTGTCCCCTGAAGGCAGGCTTGCTGGATCTGGAGGGCCGCTGTGGCCACTGTCGCACAGATGGTTAGGGTGGCTGTGCTGTGGTGTCCTCCCTCCCCCTCCATTGTATGTCCGTCGGACCGTTCTTGGGGTCTGGTGACGTCCGTGGCACTCTCCGTTCCACCCAGCTCCTGCCTTCCGCATTCCCATGACGGGCTGTCAGTTTCCGTTCACGCGCAATTGCGGAGCCGCGCACGTTCGCCTTCTCGCTTTTGCGCATGCGCGCAATTCGTTTTAAAAAAATTATTCCCGTTTGCCACGGGAATGGCGTCTGGCGATTGCTGGTGTGATCGCCTGCCGCCGCTTCCGTGCCGCGCTGCAGGCTCGTCGTGTGATCAGCACCTCCCCCTTGCCACGGTATCTTGATGGGACCTCGCCGGAGCGTCTGCTCGTGCTACCGCGCGTTTCTTCACCCCGGGGCAAACTGCTGCGCTCCCCCCCCGCATTTTCCTAGCCGTGTGACCGCAGCCAATATTTTTTTAAAACTGCTGTGGAGCTCTTAGGGACAAATTAGTTTATTGTGCCTGAGAATTTGCAGGCCACAGGGGTTTCCACCAGATGCATCAAACAGAAACACACGTGACAGGTAAAATACAACATGCTGCCTGAGGTCGACCCCACAACAACTCCATATGTGAAAAGAAGGAATACAAATCACGGGATGATTGCCAGAGTACCATGACGACAGCACTTGATCATCTAGCTGCAAATTACAATAAATACAGGGCACAGGCGACTGGGGAGATACACTCCATACATAATCCTTCTAACGTTGGCTCCTTTGTTAATGGTTTCCAGCTGTGCAGGGGTACTGCTTTTATGAAAGCAATAATGACTGTCATGCACAATTGTTTCCTTGGCAACAGCTTAGAAAGGAAATATGGTGGTCATCGTACGGGTATCATTAGCACATGTGATATGCTGCACCTTGTGTGACCAGAGAGCCCGTTTCTTTCTGATACTATCCATCAGGTAGAACATAGAAGGGTGCTAGCGGATCAGGATATAAGCCCATCTAGTCTAGCATCCTGTTCCAAACAGATGCCTCCGAAAAACCCACAAGCAGGGAATACAGGCAACAGCCCTTCTCTGCAATTGCCTCTAGTTACTGAACAGGAGATACCCAGGAGAAGGATTTGAGGGGGGCATCTGGGGCTGCTGTGTGAGAGGGGAGGGGAGAAGGTTGTGCTCCACCAGTGGAAGGATTTGATTCCAGTGGACCCAAGCCAGTGTTCCCAAGAGTTTGCACCCTTTGCTAAACTCTGTGCTTGAACCCTCAGCTTTCTGTAAGACGGGCCCTTTCTCTAAAGGTAATAAGGCTCAAATTTTAATTGTCTATGACCTGGATAGACCGGGCTAGCCCAACCTCATCGGATCTTGGAAGCTAAGCAGAACTGGCCCTGGCTAGTATTTGGATGGGAGCAGGGCTATTTTTGGGGAGGAATGCACAGAAATGCAGTTCCGGCTGGCTCCCAAGTTGGCCACGCCCAGCAGGAACTCATTAGCACAATAGGCCACACCCAACAGCAGAAACTCATTCGGATTGGCTACATTAGGGGTGTGTGGCCTAAAATGCAAAGGAGTTCCTGCTACAAAAAAAGGCCCTGGGTTTCGACAACAAACAAGGTAAACAGAATAACAAGCGAAAGGTGGGTGTGGCTGGATGACCACACTTCTGGTAACACGTGGGTGTGGCCTAATGTGCTAATGAGCTGTGCTGTCAGGGGTGTGGCCCAATAGGCTAATGAGTTCCTGCTGTTGGGTGTGGCCTATTATGCTAATGAGTTCCTGCTGGGCTTTTTCTACAAAAAGAGCCCTGGATGGGAGACCTCCAAGGAATACCAAGGCTGTGATGTGGAGGCAGGTAAGGGCAAACCACACCTGAACGTCTCTTGCCTTGAAAACTCTATGGGGTCACCATAGGTCAGATGTGATCTGATGGCACATTCCACCACCATGAACAGCTTAGGTAGTTTCCCCTTCTTACCTGTTTATACCGCATTGTTGTGAATCCAATTTATTGTATCATCGTTGTTTACTTGTGTACTCCAGTTTTATCGCATTGGTCTTTGTATGTAGTATATTGGCCCTCTTTTACAATTTTGTAATGTGCCTTGAGAAAGGCAGGCAATACATTCAGTAAGCAAACACATTTTAAAAATAAATGAAGCAGAGTTCTAAATTCTGCACCAAAGTACTCCAAATTCTGGACCCAGCAGAGTCAAATTATGCAACCTGAATATGTTATGAAAACTAAATGAATGTGTGTAGATTTGGTTATTTTGTTTAGAAATGAGGAATAAGTGGACTGATGGAAGACCTGCTGAGCACCTAGGATTGCTGTTTGTCCACTGGTCACTCCCAATCTTTGTCCCCAATCCCCTGCCTTAAGAAACTGAGGACCAGGAGGGAAAAGGACCGGGAAATGGCTGCCACAGGGATGCTCTAGGAATTTCCATCTTGAATAGCAGGATGAAGATACTGAGGCCTCAGTGAAATCTGCCGTCAAACATCTGATGTCAGAGAGGGGATGGGCACCTGAAGAAAACTCTTTGATATTTCACCATATTGGCTTTAGTTTGCCTAATTGGATTTGATGGCCAAAATTAGACTCCTCCACCTTTCATAGCTTGTTTGTTTCTTATTCTGCCTGTTTGTTCCCTGACTGACAGCTGTTTCTATACCATTTAAGAAAAAAAAAAAGGTTCTTCCCGGTGATCCCAGCCAAGCGGGGAATTGTGTATTTAATGTGTTGTCATCACAACGCTACACAGCCAATCAGATATCACTGAAAGTAAATGAAGTCCATTCTGAGTGGGAGAAATGCATTCTGTACCACAGTGCACTCATTTTGGATATGTGCTGGGCAAAAGGTGGGCTAAAAGTTTTCAAATAAGTAAAATAAAAACTTCGAACAGGCAAATAGTTTGTTCGCTTTTCGGTGTGACCAAAAGGACCGGGTGCTTTTCACCCTACCCCCATCTTGCCTCAGCGACAAACTCACCCTTTGCAATTCTTCAGTCATTGGCATAAAACAATACCCTAAAAGAGGATTACTATAAAAAAGGAATATACATGTAGAACCAACCATTTTACAGACTGCATAATGTTACATAATGTTGCATAAAACAATTTGCATAAAACAAAATTACTCATTTTGATAGTTTTTCCTATCATAGCTTTATAGCTGATTGTAAAAACATGGCTACCTTCACTGATATTTCAGGAGCAGAGTCATTCAGAAGATGGTGCAGTTTTAAAGCATCAGGAAGTCCATCATGTTGGCTAAGACAGGGTTTAAATGTCTAAAATGTATATCTACATAAAACTGACAATGCAGATATGTGAAACTGTCTCAATACATCCAGAATTACAATAGCAAAGTCTAGCCGTATATACTATGTTATTATATCTCCCATGCAAGATTGCTGATGGTATTGCATTGAATCTTGCAAGAGAAAAGGCTCTGCACTGTTGTGGTACTTGTGTTTTAGATAAATATGGGGCTATTTGGCCTACCGTGAGGGGAATCTCAGTGTTCAAAGGAGAACAAGATTTGTTGACTAAGCAATCCTTCAGTTAGATCTGAATCCAAATATCTTGTGATAAACACCACTGGACTGAATCCAGCCAGCTTTTTCTTAGTCTTGTACAGTTCATCTCCTTATTACTTCCCCCTCCCACATGGCTTTTGTCCATGAATGTCCCACGATCCTTAGTGTAGCCTTTTGGTGGTCAAAGGGGACCCTCTCTTCCCATTTTCACCAGTGGAAAAGCTGGCTGGATCTAACTCACTCTGCTGTTGTTGCTGTCATGAGACCATCACACAAAATAAGGACTCGGGACAAACAACAGGAGAGTAGGAAGTGGCACTGAGTACTCTTGTTGTTTTCCTACAAATTATCTAGTAAGGTGTGGGCAGAAACAAAACAGGAAAGGCTGTATGTGATGTACCAGAGAATGTCTTTCCAAACAATGCTTTTTAAACCTTTCCCATAAGCAGGTATCTAAAACTGCCTCCTATTTATTGTAAGTGAAACACTATAACCTAGACTGTGTGGGTTAATTTTAGGGGGATTTGTATCTATTCAGCTCTGCAGGCAGAGGCTATGAGTTGTTATTTGACAGGAAATGTGCTTATTCCTTATCATGTAATCTACGCAAGCATTGGCTGCCCATTATATGCCATTTGACTAGCTGGCGCTCAATGCATGCATATAACTTCCTTGATGCTTCCCACTCATGTACTTGGCAGGAGGGAAGTCATATGTGAGAAACAGCTCTAAGATTTTTCCCTTGTCCTAGAGAGCCAACTCATATTTTAGAAGGAATGTGGACGTTTGCTGTTTATCTACTGTCTCCATGGTTCAGTTCGCCTTATTACAGATGAGACATCTCTAGTGCTGGTTCCTTGGTTACTTCAGCCCTCTCAGGGACTCCCAACACAAATGAAGAACACTCCTTCCAGTCATCTGTCACATTCTTGTTTGGTGGTCCAATCCCATGCATCTGAATCCAACCTCTACGTCCCTCCATCAGACTGACCACCAATGCCTTCCACTGGGGTGGGGACACTCACTGCCACAACCAACCAGTGTTCCCTCTAAGCTGAGTTAATGTGAGCTAGCTCACAGTTTTTTAGCCTCCGACTCAACACATTTTTGTCTTAGCTCAGGAAGGATGGCTTCAAAGCAAACTGATTTATGCAGTAGCCAAATAACTTGCTCACAACTTAAATGCCAGTAGCTCACAAGACTCCACAGCTTAGAGGAAACACTGCAACCAACCCGTCAACTTCCCATGGTCCCAGAAGGAACAGAAGGCCTATATCAGCTTCTTGGAACTCCTCACAGTCTTCAAGGCTCTCCTTGCATTCCTTCCTCTTTTATAAGGTCAGACCGTCCATGGAGTCCTGGATAATACAACCACTATGTACCATATCAGCCAACAGGGAGACACTGTTTCTGCCAGCCTAAACACCCCGGCATGCTGTCTGTGGGAATGGTGCGTCCAATATGGCACCACTCCTGTTGTAGACATATTCCAGGATGTTTACTGTCTACAGCGTTTTTTATCCCACTCTTTCTCTAAGGAATTCAGGGCAGTATACATGGTCTTCCCTTTCCTCATTTTAACCTGACCGCCACCTAGTGAGGGAGGTTGGACTGAGAGTGACCCAGCAAACTTCACTGCAAAGTAGGGATTTGGACCTGGTCTCCCAAATCCTTATCTGATGTTCTAACCACTACACTGCACTGACTGCATTTGTCAGATGGGTCTCCTCAAGTTGAACAGCTCTAGCCATTGAAGGAAAGATACATGTGGACAGAGATGTGTGGAGGACTTCCACTGGGGACTGCAGCGGGCGACACTTTTTGTTGAGCAGTCAGACTGGGCATGGGACCAGTTCAGGTGTGATGCCAAGATGGATGCCTGGCTGAAGCTTTGTGTGCTACAGTTCAAATAAAGCAGATCTATACACTTGACCTGCTGGTGTGTTATCTCCAAACTTTACATAGGCTTAGTAGAAGGGGTGAATGTTAGGTACTGAGGTCAGCCCTGTTTCACAACACATATTATTTCTCAGAAGCATTTGTCTCTATCACGATGTATAGAAATAATAAATCTTCATTTTAAATGGTTTTCATTTTTTGGACATTTAATCTGGCAGAACTGTGCTGCAGATTTTGCTTTGCCCTCTCATTCACAAAAAGGAGGAGGAGGAGGAGGAGGAGGAGATTAGATATATACCCCGCCATTCATTCGGAGTCTCAGAGTGGCTTACAAACTCCTTTCCCTTCCCCTCCGCACAACAGACACCCTGTGAGGTAGGTGGGGCTGAGAGAGGTCTCTCAAGAACTGCCCTTGAGAGAACAGCTCTGAAAGAACTATGGCTCACCCAGGGACATCCAGCAGCTGCAACTGGAGGAGCGGGGAATCAAACCCAGTTCTCCCAAATTAGAGTCCGCACACTTAACCACCACACCAAACTGGAAATTAACATTAAAATTAAAATTCTGGTAAGTGACACCTATCAAATCAAGGCTGCAATCATAAACATACTTAAGAGTAAATTGTATTGGATTTACTTCTGGGTATATATTCTTAAGATTGCCGTACACATCATGTGCTGTCTATGCAAGATGCTGACTTAGTGCCATGGATCTGTTCCACTATTGACCTCCAGTGCGAGGAGCCTTCTGGTGATGCAAAAACCTTGTCCGCCAGCAGAGGAAACTCTTTCATAAAGGGAAGGCAGATTGCATTGGGAAGAGAGCCAGTTTGGTGTAGTGGTTAAAAGCGGTGGACTCTAATCCCCATTCTTTCACTTGAAGCCAGCTGGGTGAACTAGGGTCAGTCACAGTTCTCTCAGAGCTCTCTCAGCCCACTATAAGCCTAGCTCATCACAAAAGAGCTAGAGATTCTGGCTGCCAGACAATCCTAGGATCTCCTGGCTATATTACACACACTGCCATATGATACTTGATTAATTAATTAGATTGCATTGGGGGCTAGTGCTGCCAGCACTGGAGTAGATCTGTGGGATCAAACCCCCATGTTTACAATACTTGATGACACTTGAGGCTCATGAATATGCTTGCACACTGACTTAAAAAGGATAACGTTTCAATTTTGGGGATTTGGTTAATGGGAATTGGTCTGCTCAGTTGGTTTGGCCTTAGGCTTGCCAAGTCCCGCCGGGGGGCGGGGAAACCCCCGTTCCAGAGGCCAATTCCCTGCTGCCGGCGGATCAGGCCCCAGGGGGAACCCCACCCTCAAAGCACGTGACGTGCATGTCACCTGGAAGTGACGCGACCACGGCAGACACGCTGGGGGCGGGGCCACGGTCATCTGAGGGAAAACTCTATGGTTTTCCCTCGGATGGTTGTGGCCCCGCCCCAGCGTGCCCAGTGTGGTTGCGTCACTTCCGGGTGATGTGGTTGTGGCGCACACGTGCTTTGCGCGCACACTCCCGGAGTGGCACTGGAGTCCCCCGCTCCAGCGCTGCTTCAGACTTGGCAACCCTATTTGGCCTAAAAGGGGCACGCGTGCATGAGGGAACTGGAGCCTATGACAAGAGAATGCTAATATTTCTTCATGATTGTAGCTATCTTATCAGTGGGCCTTATTTGTTAGGAAATGGGTCTGTCCAAGCACCAGTTGGGGATGGGTCATGGGCGCCACGGCACCTGCTGACACTTTTCCTGGTGACTGCCAAGTGTTTTTAGAAAGTGAGTAGGGCCAGGTTGAGCTCTTGCCCAGCAAGGCTTCTGATTGGCTACTGGAGATTTGATTGACTCTGCAGATTCTTTTAAAAAGTTGCTTTGGCAGCAGCTGCCACCACAACACAGAGTTCTTCACTGTGCGACTGAAGGTAAGTGGCGGCAGCCATTTTGTAGCTGGTTTTGCCTGCTGCAGCAATAGGGCTGCCAACCTCCAGGGGATAGCCAGAGATCTCCTGGGATTACCGCTGATCTCCAGGTCACAGAGATCAATTCGCCTGGAGAACATGGCCGCTTTGGGAGGTGAACTCTATGACACTGTACCCCATTGAAGTCCCTCCCCTCCGCAAGCCGCACCCCTCCTCAGGCTCCATCCCCCAAACCTCCAGGTGTTTCCCAACACGGAGCTGGCAACCACCATTTTGTGATTGTACCTATCACACTGTCAGAATTCCAAAAGTGCCAGGAGGGTCAAAAAGGCTTAGATGTGGTAACCAATGTTCCCTCTAAGCTGTAGAGTCCTGTGAGCAAAAATTCTACTTTGTGAGCTACTGGCATTAAAGTTGTGAGCAGGTGATTTGGCTACTGCATAAATTAGTGTGTTCTGGAGCCATCCTTCCTGAGCTGAGACAAAAATGTGTGAGCTGGAGGCTAAAAAACTGTGAGCTAGCTCACACTAACTCAGCTTAGAGGGAACACTGGAGGTAACCCCCCAGCTGAAAGGAGAGTGTATATAGTGTACGAAGGAACAGCAGTTTGGATTCCAGGAAATCCAGAGAGAAAAGCAGACAGACACTGTTACTATTTGATTGAAGCACTTTCAAGGTATGATCTCTCTCTCTCTCTCTCTCTCTCTCTCTCTCTCTCTCTCTCTCTGGATCTGATTCCTTCTCTCCACCTGTACTCTACTTGGATATTTGTAAACAAAGCAAATAGAACAGAAATGTCATAAATCTCCAGTGCTGTCCCCTCCAAAGGGAGTCAACCCAGTATTTGATTTACTGTCCAGGAATTTCTCACTACTCCGTAAATTGTGATGTATATAACATTTTTTGGGGGGGGGGTCAGGTTGTGTGTGAATAGTCTTGTGGCATGCGGTGGTGTTGTACCGTTAAAATTAAATTAATTTCAGAATGGCTTAGTGACTAGAGGGGAGGCTATCCAGGAGCCCCTGTAAGCTCCCCTGAGCTTCTCAGAAGAAAAGTGAGACATTAAAGAAAAAAAAGATGTCTAACAGTGTAAATCTCCTTGCTCAAAGCAAATCCCCTGTACACTGTTTCGAGACTCATCTTTAATATAAACACATTGCTGGAGCATATACAAAATACAACAACCTTCAGTTTGATAATACTTCCATTTAACCCACAATAATCCTTCACACAATGATTTTAAAAAAAAATTCTACACATCCTAGAAAAAGTTCACAACGAATACGTGAATACTGGTCGAAAGTGCACACTTAAACAACAGACAAAAGAACACACTTTCATACTGAGCAATAATGCAGCGTATTCATCTCCTATCTTTCTAACAGGCATCGCGTGATATTGCAATGCTCCTTCCTGAGTAGACATTTCCGAACAACTGTCATGAGAAACAGGGGTCTTGTATCCTCCCACTCTGCTTGGCAAAGCCTGAAGCCTTCCGACAGACTAAGGAGCCTTCCGCTAACGGGTGGAAGAGCCACTTCCGTTGGTGGAACGCTCCTTAGGCAGGCGGAAGGCTTCAGACTTTGCTGGGTAGAGTGCTGAAGATATAAGCCATGATCACTAATCATGCCAAGCCAATGGCTTTGTCGCTTCACTGGTTGTAATAGTAGTCTTGGCCATAAACATCGTATCCATGCCCTTTATAGTAGCTGTACTCGTCTTCGTATGTTCTGAACGTGTCCCCACGGGGCTCCCCATGCTCGTTCCCGTAGTAATCTGTTTGTGTCTCATAGCCATTTTCGGAACCAGCGGTGGTGGTGTCATAAGCATATGGGTCTTCAGTGGTGGTGTCATACTGCCACGGATCTTCCGGGGTCACATATTGCCCCTGATCTTCAGTGGTAGTTTCATACTGCTCCTGATAATCTGTCGTGGAGATAACAGTAGTGGCCACAGTGGTAGGAATCACGGTGGTTGCTTCCTTTGCTTCCTCTTCATTACCTTCCTCTTCCTCCTCTCCATTGCCTCCGTTTCCATTCTCTTCTGCAGTGCTGTTGGTAGAAGTACCATTGACACTTTGTTCATTCTCTTCCGCTTTTTCCTCTTCCTCGTTCTCTTCTTCTTCGTTTTCTTCTTCTTCATTTTCATCACTGTCTTCCTCATTTTCAGAGCCTTCCTTCTTCCCTCCTTGTTCAGGCGCTTTGTCTTTTTCACCCTTTTTAATGCCACCTCCTTTCCCTGGTATCACGACAGGATCTTTTCTCGCTGGCACCTGCATTGAAACATGGGCAAGACGCCAGATTTACAAGGTGTTATACTGGTAGTTCTAAAAAGTAAAACTTTAATAAGCTTCTGTTTAAGAGAGAGAAAGAGAGGCATTCAATCACGAAATTTAGATCTAGGGACAGATCTGGATGATTTTACCTGCATGTTTTACCTACTCTCTGAAAGTACCTGCACATTGATATATCCTATTCTCCTATGACACAAACACGATTGTGAATATGATCCTGAGTATCCTGAGCATGTTTAAAATGAGATTTTGTGGCTCAAATGCAGAAAGAAAGAGGGAGGGAGGGAAGGAAGGGGGACTCACTAAATGTTGTAACAGTGGCATCTATGAGACTCAGGGTATGTTCTTTAACTGTTTTTACGAAGACTGTAGTCATAGAATCATAGAATCACAGAGTTGGAAGGGGCCATACAGGATCAGCCTAGAGCATCCGTGACAAATGTTTGTCCAGCTGTTGCTTAAAAGACTGCCAATGAGGAGGAGCTTACCACTTCCCTAGGTAGGTTTGTCCAGCTGCTCCCAGTGAGGGGGAGCTCACCACCTCCCTAGGCAACTGATTCCCCCCGCAACCTCCTCTTCTCTAGACTGAACATTCCCAAGTCCCTCAGCCTTTCCTTACAGGGCTTGGTCTCCAGGCCCCTGATCATCCTCGTTGTTTGCTCTGAGGCTGGAATCCTGAATAGCCTCACATTCTGAGTTTATGACTGGAGCATGCAAATGCTGATTATAATTTCTTATACATTCAGTATGTGCAGGAGACTGTCCCAATGCATTATCACAGTCTTACTTAGGTATAAATTCTCCATGTCTTTGTAACAAACAAATTCACAGGTATAGCTTTCCCCGTCACTGCCTCCCCATAACAAGCTTCAGCTGTTTGCCTCTGCCTGCCAAAGATCTATTAAAGCTATGGGAGCCTCAGCCCATTAAAATGTGATAATCCTAATTAACCAATAAGACCATTTCTTTGGAAATCAATGCATCTCCCTCCTTCCCTCCAAATCCCCCACTTCACAATTGGCAGGTAAAATCACCCTCTGCACAAGGATGTTGAGAAGGGTTCTCTGGCACCTCTCTGCAGTAGCTGTCGGGCCTCACGTCCCCATGCTGAACATCTCTAATTTGAGTCTTAATTGTACTTCTGCCACTGTATGGAATGAAACAGCGGACTGGGCTGCTTAGGGAAGGTGGGATCACTTTACTTGGCATGTATCACCTGTGCACAAGTCTCACCTGCTTAGGAGGTTTGGCATGTCCTTTAATAACAGTCCCTTTTCCAGGGGGCGCCTCTGTAGCAGCTGCTTCAGTTTCATTCTCAGTGCCACCTTCGTTTTCTTCATTGGACTGACCCTGCAGACAGATGAAGGTCAGATTTCAATCGCATTTCAGCTTCAGCAGATGCTGCATTCGATACAGGCCCTTTGAGCAGTGGCAGTCCTATAAGTGGGCAACTTTCCCTCTTCTAAGTTTCACTCTGTGCCCATTATCTCTGTGCTGACAAAACTATTTCATACGGTGAATGGGGTGCAAGTCCTTGAGTAATAGCCAGAGCTCTTTTTCACGCAATGCTGAAGGAGTTGCCTCCTATCCTCTCTCAAGAGAGAGATGTTCTTCTTGCACTACATGAAGAAGAGCACTTGAAAACTTGCCATTCTCATCAACAGGTATGGGATAAATCACTGCTGTTATCAAGAGTGTGGTTTTATGGATTCTCCAAGACTGCACCATGAGTGCAACAAAACTAGGGGTGCCAGGTCTGGGTTGGAGAATACCTGGAGACCTTGGGGGTGGATCCAGGAGATGGTGGGGTTTGGGGAGGGGAGGGGCCTTGGCATGGTACAATGCCACAGAGTCCGGCTATTTTCTCCAGGGTAGCTAATCTTTGTCAGCTGGGGATCAGTTGTAAAAGTGGGAGATCTCCTGGCCCCACCTGGAGACTGGCAACCCTAAATAAAACTGAGCTTGGGACTTCACTTTTGGAAGAGTCCCAGGTCTCCAGCAAACAGTGGCACTGAATGCATAGGGATGGTTTTAGTGGTTTGCACGCATCAATGTAAGTTATAGCTGTGCAGCAGGTTTTGTCATTTAAGACCAGCTGGGACTCTAGACTCATATCAGGAGGTCACCTTATTGAAATTAACTGTCTTAAGAGCTGCACAACCCTGACCTGGAAGTTCCAGGCTAGCCCAGTCTTGTCAGATCTTGGAAGTTAAGCAGGGTCAGCCCTGGTCAGTATTTGGATGAGAGACCACCAAGGAATACTAGGGTCATGGCAAACCACCCCTGAATGTCTCTTGCCTCGAAAACTCTACAGGGTTGCCATAAGTCAGCTGTGACTTGATGGGGGAAGGGGGGGGAGCTGCAAAAGAACGGCACTTTCTTCTAGAACCATCAAACTCACGGACTTGATACTTAAAAATGAATGAAATGGCATCTGAAGTCTTGGATAAATTTCGATCTCAAACATTTGCCCTGGCTCAGCTGCCCATGATGCTGGCACAGACTCACTGCAAAAGTGGCGTAATGTCATGTTTTGCAACTCCGTCCTGGCATCGCTGTTGTTCACCATTCATGTTGCTGCTACAGCAGTTCTTAGGATTGGGTTGTCGAAACACTTAAAGTAAGCCACAATGCAATGCCAGTAAAAACCCAAGTTGTTTTCCCTTCTATGGAGAGGGGTTCCATAATTGCACAGTGTGGCTTCCTCTTTGGATAGCCATCAGAGGGCATCATGACTTCCATAAAAGAGCAATTCTGGCAGTGCTGTTTGTTTAAATGTTGTTGAGGTCCTGCCTTGGTCACTGCTGGAATGAAACCATGGAATTGGATCTAAAACAATGGCCCCCTTTTCAGCATTCATACGTGACATTCTGATTTTACTTTTTGGGCTGGCACATTATGTGAACAAACCATGTGTACAGAAGCCTCCCACTGGCTGTACTAGCAGCAACTGATTTTGATTGCTACTACAGGCAACTGGACAGCCCTGTTCCAAACACACCGGCTACTGTTTGGCTATTTACCTTTCTTGGCAGCGCTTGGCATCTATAAATGGAGTGGAGAAACAAGGAAGTCCCTCCAAAGAGTTGAGGCACTGCTGACAAGGGTGACTATAGGAGTGGTGAGGGCAGAAGTGGTTGTTGAGAGGGCTGGCATGGGCTCCACAGATGCTGGTGGCAGCTGTTAGAAATGACAGCTGATACAACCAGCCAGAGGCTTCACTGTATGTGGAGTGGAAATGGGACACCGGCTTCTGCATATTTTCATATTACTTTGTGCTCGAGGTTACAGCTTCCATCCTGGTAACTTACTTACAATATTTTCACTGAGAGCCTATTTTTTTTTACTTATTATGTTTTCCCTCAGAATTATTATTTGTCATTGGAATCTACCAGCAAGGTATTTTATCAATGGTGCTGTTATTAATTAATGTGTTTCTATATTACTTGACAATGGCTGTTATTAATTAACTTCCCACGACATTGCTTTGCAAGACCAGTCATAGCCAAAGAAACTTCAGCCTCACACTGAAAAATCAGCTTTCCCCCTTTGTCCCCCTCCCCTTCATATTCTAGAATTTAGGATTTTAAACAAAAAGCAGCCATAATTTAACGAAGCAACTGTATTGTGGAGACAAAGGGAAGCTATAAAGTAACAGTGCTAGGCGTCAACATCTGGGGAAGGCGGTGTTCAAGCCTCATTTGTTGACCTTTCAGGGGAACTGATTGGCCATCATAAGAAGAGGATGCTGTATTAGATGGATCACTGGTCTGATCCTGCAGGGATTTTTTAATGTTCTTATATAAAACCTTTCTGAAGGCTTTGCTTGGGAAACCAACCCAAGGCCTTTGTCACGCTAGAATAGGGTTGCCAAGTGCTTACCCGTTCCGGAGCGGGGGAGTCCAGCCTTGCTCCGGGAGTCTTCACGCGCCGCAACACGGAAGTGACGCAAGCACGTCGGGGATGTTGGGGGCGGGGCCACAATCACCCCAACGTCCCCGACGTGCTTGCGTCACTTCCGTGTGATGTGCTTTGGGGGTGGGGTTCCCCCTGGGAGCCTGATCCGGTGGCGGCGGGGAACGGGCCTCCCGGGCGGGGTTTTCCCCGCCCCCAGGGGGGAATTGGCATCCCTACGCTAGAAATTGGGGAAATGACAATGCATTGGGGTAAGATAGTATTAGGGTTGCCAACTTCCAGGTGAGGACTGAAGATCTCCTAGAATTACAGTGGCTCACCAGACAACAGCGATCAGGTCCAGATAATAATGGCTGCCAGTTCCAGGTTGGGAAATATCTGGAGATTTGGGGGATGGATACTGAGGAAGGTGGGGTTTGGGGAGCAGAGGGACTGCATAGGAGTATAATGCCATAGTATAATGCTATACTCATAGGGGTATTATGCCAAAGCGGCCATTTTCTCCAGGTGAACTGATCTCTGTTGCCTGGAGATCAGCTGTAGTAGCAGGAGATCTCCAGCTACCACCTGGAGGTTGGCAACCCTAGCTTTGGAGGGCGCATTCTATGTAGGGTTGGCAACCTCTAGCTGGCATGTGGAGGTAGCCTTCTATTACAATTGATCTCCAGAGGACCAAGATCAGTTCCTCTGGAGAAAATGGCTGCTTTGGATTCTATGGCATTATACCCTGTTGAGGCCCCTCCCTGGCCCCACTGCCGGACCTCCTGGTGGCACCTGGTATTTTTGGCCACTGTGTGACAGAGTGTTGGATAGGGCTGCCAAGTCCCCCCGGGGGTATCCCCGCCCCAGAGGCCCGTTCCCCGCCGCCAGCGGATCAGGCCCTGGGGGAAACCTCGCCTTGACGTGCGCGTCACCAGGAAGTGACGTTAGGACACCGAGCACGCTGGGGGCAGGGCCACGACCCTCGGAGGGAAAACTCTATGGTTTTCCCTTCGAGGTTCGTGGCCCCACCCCCAGCGTGCCCGGCGTTCTAACGTCACTTCCGACCGGCGTGCGTGTGGCGCGTGCTTTGTGCGCGCGCACTCCAGTCACCGCCCGGGAGTCCCCCACTGCGGTGACTGCAACGACTTGGCAACCCTAGTGTTGGACTAGATGGGCCATTGGCCTGATCCAACGTTGGCTTCTCTTGTGTTCTCCCCAGCCCAAACCCCACCCGCCCCATGCTGAAGTCACTCCCCAGCCTCTGCCCTCCTCAGGCTCCACCCTGACATCTCCAGGAAATTTCCAGCCCAGAGTTGACAACCCTGCACAGTACAGGCATAAACATCCATTGGAAAAAAGATCCCAAATGTCAAGGGCCCACAGGGCCCACCCTGCGGACTAGAGTAGCCAATCATGAGGGTGAAAATACATCTTCCTGGAAAGGACAATAAAACATAGTGACACCTCTGCAGCTTCCGATCATCAGGTCAAGCCAAACATTCGTTTTTATAAATGCCCTAGTGTCTAAGCACATATTGACCCAGCCAACCACAATGGTACTGAAGAAGCTCTTACAAAGTGCCCAGGTAAAATACGTGCTCCCCAAATAGCGCATATACCAAGATACATATTTACTCAGGAGTTTATATCAGCTCTTGGGGAGCCAACACAGTCCTGAGGTAAATACAAATCTGGAGAAGATGCACAACACCCAACGTTGCAAAAACACCCCCGGGGGCCTAGGCCTCTGTAAGGGCATCCCTCACTGTGAATAGAAGGCCTCTTTTTGTGTTGATGGGCTTGTTTTTAAAACTCTTCTGAGGGGAGTCTTGTTGTACATGTCTCCTTGGGCAAAATCCAGAGAAAGTAAGGCATCTCTATAGTCCATTAACAATTAAGGAAAGGGGGGGCATGATGATTCCCAGGGGGGAGGGATCTCA